CCTTCTCAGACGGTGCCTAAAATCACTTTCCAAATGATGCTTTCATGTTAAGTGGACGGCAATGCTACGCTATCTAACTTCAAATTCAAATGATGATTGCAATCTGGCGAAATTTTCATGGTTCTCTGTTTACCTTTCATTAATTTTTTTTTTTTTTTAATTCTTAATTATTTTCCTTTCATTCACTTTTTTTTTTTTAGTTCTTAATTATATTTATAATCAAAATACAATACCATAGAAAAATTGTGTTAGCATTAGTTATCAGAAGGGTTCAGTGTATCACGTGATGATGTGTCCCTTTAATAATATTTTGCTATTTATTTATATATATATTTTTTAAACTATATAAATATTTAATCTCTTACTTTTTTTTTTTATCATAATTTAATCCCTTATTATTAAGCAAATACATTACCATCACATACAGAAAATACACAATAATTATAATGGGGAATAGGGATAAACACTCTATTGTGGTTTGATAATAGACACCTAGTGGGGCCTATAGCACAAGTTTTATTTTTTAACCAATATAACGGGACACACAAATCACTCACACTGGGCAATTGCTGACCAGGTGAGGGCTATGGCACCGTATTTACACGACACACACACCCGAAGGCTATCCAATGTGGAATAGCCCCTCCAGACCCCTTGTTGACCAGGTGAGAGCCATAACATCGTATTTGCACAACACACACCCAAAGGCTATCCGATGTGGGATAGCCTCAGCCCAACCCTCCAAAGCCCAAAAGCCTCAGTGACAAAACCAAGCCTAAAAAAAGGTTGAAAACTGAGCCCACACAGGAGGCCCCACAATTAGTTTTTTTGAGTCAATACAATACAATGGATCCCACAAACAAACCACTCACACTGTGACTGGACAATTGCTGACCAGATAAAGGTGATGGCACCGTATTTACACAACGCACACCCAAAGCTATCCGATGTGTGATAGCGCCAATTGCACAAGTTTTGTTGGTCAGAATATTACATGGCCATTTGTGGTTCTCCTATAAAGAGTGGACAAGATCACTCCATCATGGAATATTACGTTTGATTCACATTTTGTAATCTAAAATAATCTAATTTCAGTGATGTAATAATTAATCCTAAAATAAAATGTTCTTGATAAAAGGATGAAACTACCCTCCTAAAATAACTCAATCTAAGGACAATTTTTATTTTTTTATTTTTTTTGGGTGTGTTTATTGACCAGAGTGTTCAAAACTGTCTCGACTAATTTTCAAATACATGTAGTTTGTCATCTCAAAAATACTAAAAACAATTATCATACTTAAACTCTGAAAATGAAACATTTCAAAATGAGAAAAGTAAAAATAAAAATATTCTTTTTTTAGAAGGGGGAAATCAGTTGCAAAGACAAAATGAGAAAAATTAGAAGATAAAAATCAACTAGTCAGGTGGCTCGTGAATTGAGATTTGTTAACACATAATCCAGCAAAAAATATTTTTGTGATGTCCGTGTAGCCATTCAATAAAATTTTATAGGGTAAATTACATTAACCTCCCCTGAGGTTTATGACAAATACAGGGACCTCCCCTGTGATTTGAATAATTAGAGTAACCTCCCCTACTTTACCTGACAATGTCAAGATTCCCCCAATTCGCTAATTTTGCACAAACGACGTTACTTGATTATACAAAATGACCATATTGCCCTTTCATTTGAATACAAAAAGACCAAAATACCCTTTAATTCCTATATCTCTCGTACATATCTCACTAACATCATGCTCTGTCCCCATCTCTCTTTCATCTTTCCTCCTCTCTCCTACCTATAATCTCTCCAACCAATACAACTGCCTCCGGCGATCCCAAAGCCCACCGGCGATTATTCTCCTCAATAGCTTGTGCAAAAATTAGTATATACTTTCAATTTCTTCCATTCTAGTTCTAGGGTTTTGAAGCTCCTATACCAGTTAGGGTTTTCAGAGAGAGAGAGAGAAATGGTTAGCCACCGACAACCTCCTTCTCTGCAACGACTGCGACTGGGACGCCCACAGCAGCTGCTTCGTCTCTGCCTCACACGATCGCAACCCTGTCGAGGGTCTCTCAGCATCTCCCTCTCCTCTCGAGCTCGCTTCAGCTTGGGGTGTCGTCTCTGCCTCCTCCTCTAATAATGAAGCCGCCGCCGCCGCGCTAGGCCGTTTCTCCGACGACGACGAACCTTCCCTCAAAATAATGGGCTTTTGGGTTTAGTTTCTTGTTTTATTTTTTTTCTGGAGAATCTCTGTTTGTGTAAATGCAAAGGAAGCCAGAGACCCATCTGGTGGTTCGGTGTTGGTGATGATTTGACCTTTTTGGCGACCTTTTCTGGTTTTTTTTTCTAAAGATTTCTCAACACATACATTAATTTCGAGAATTACCCAGGTGAGAAATCACTCATGTTTACTCTGTTTCACTTCTTCAAATTCATTATGAGTACATATATATATATATATAAGTTTTGTTCATGATTGAATTAGAAAAAGGTCAAGAGTTTGATCATTCAAATGGGGAACATGGGTGTGGAAGAGTCAAGCCAAATTCAGAGAGAAGACTCGGAAGAGGGGGCAAATGAGGCGGTGCGGGAGGAAGACATAAAGAGAACTCTGCCGTGGAGAAAACAGATCACAATCAGAGGAATTATAGCAAGCTTACTGATTGGGATAAGTAATTATAAGGAATTATAAGGAAAGGTCACCTGTGTGTATACATATATATAATGAGTGAGAAATCTTTATATGTATACATAAATATCTTATATATATGTATACATATATAAGAAGGTGAATTAGAAGGCAGGACAGGAGTAGAATGGTGAATTAGAAGGCAGTGAGGCTGTAGAAAGATGAATTAGAACGCAGTGAGGGTAATGAGGGTATTTTGGACATTTCATAATTTATAATAAGTGACATCAGCACTTTCTGTTAGATCTTCTAACGACAGTCACATTTTGGGGGAATCTTGACATTGTCAGGTAAAGTAGGGGAGGTTACTGTAATTATTCAAACCACAGGGGAGGTCCCTGTATTTGTCAGAAACCTCAGGGGAGGTAAATGTAATTTACCCAATTTTATAATTTGTTCACCGATTCCTTATTTTCAAAACTATGTATTCATTGCTCTGTTTGATTGGAGGGATAAAAGGGGGACTATTTACTGTATGGATTGTAATTCGGGAGAAGCATTTAATCCGGCGTTTATTTTTTTTTTAGTTCGCCAGACTCCTTATCTCCCATATGGGAGACTATTGTATCCTAGGGGGGTATGGGACAATTTTCGAAGGACTATCTACTGTTGGGATTAGATAGTAAAATGACCATTTTGATCCTCTACTATTTAATTATGTATTATATTTAGTAAAATTCAATAAAATTTAAATGTCTCAATTTAAAAATAAAATAATTTTATTTAACTTTTTATTGATGTTTTATTTATTTAATTTTTTTAAAATAATTTTTTATAGATATTTTATTGATGTTTTATTTTAAAATTTTGTTTATATTTTATTTAATTTCATTATTTAAATGTTAATAGATGTTTTATTTTTAATTTCATTGTTTAATTATTATTATTTTTAAAAACAAATTTATTTAAAATTTTAATTAAATAACATATATTTTTATTGATATTTTATTTATTTAATTTTAAAAAAAAATTATTTAATTGTGTAAAAAATAAAATAAAATAAATTATTTAATCTAGCTAAAAATAATTAAAATATTAAAGATATGTTTAATATTGCTATTACTTAGTAAGCAATTCAAAAAAGGTAAAATAATCTTTTGTTCATTTATCCTATCCAGTCCGTCTAACTAAACGTTGGATTCACTAAAAATAATTCTTTCCAGACATCTAATCCCATGAAAAAATAAACATAGGATACAAATCGAATCCAACTAAATAGTCCGAGAGATTCACAGTCCAAGGACCCAAATCTGATAGATTCTAATCCCTCATTATTTAGTCCGTCCAATCAAGCACACCCTTAATCCCTACTAATCCCTAGACACAAAGTCAACTTAAAATTTCGAAAGATATAAATTAACTAGTAAGGCCAAGTTTGGCATGATTAAAAAAAGACAAAAAGTCAAAAAGTCACTATCTTATTTAAGTCACATCATCTTATTTAACTCACATCACCTCTCTAACACATCACTTCAAACCCAACCCAAACCCAACCCATACTTCATAAAAAATCAAAAAATACACTTATTTAGGCCAAGTTTGGCAACTCTTAAAAAATTCAAAAGGTCAAAAAGTCACTATCATATTTAAATCACATCATCTTATTTAAGTCACATCACCTCTCTAACAAATCACTTCAAACCCAACTCAAACCCAACCCATATTTCATAAAAAGTCAAAAAATACACTTATTTAGTTTTCCCGAACTTGGCATTAGTCTTCCCAACTAGGCCTAAGTTTATGGGAACGGCATTGTTGCCCAAATTTATGGTGCTTTATAAAAAGAAGACATCAATGAACTATTCATCTCATAGATGTATGGACATCATTTTACCAAATTATAAATAAATTACACTGACCTCCCCTTAGATTTTTGAAACAAAATACAAATCTTATAATTTTAACATAATTACATTGAACTCACTTTAGCAAGGCAAAAGAAGATAAGAACTAATGTAGATGGTAAAAAGACATAACAAAAAAAAGAAGAGAGTAAAATATACATTTAAATATAAAAAATATAACGATATCATTTTTTAATTCATATGACTAATAAATTACTCATAAAAAAAGAATTAAATGTTATGTGAATTATAACATTGAAAACCCAATATAATTATATTAAACTTGTGTGGCTTATTATATATTTTTTTTAAATCTGCAATTTATCCTAAAAATATTTAAATTCTTCTGTCAATCAGTCAAGATATCTCACCCCGTTCAGAGTGGACATGAATCACAATGAACAGGGAAGAAAATGGTGCATCTATGTTGCAAAAATAAATAAATAAATAAAGGCCAAGAAAATCAAGAAAATGTAATGTGCAAACTTAATTTTCTTTAATTTGGCAGGTTCCTTGAAATGATAATCGCCACGACTCTTTCCAAACAAATCACGGTAATTACAACTTTTCATGGTAATACTCTTGCAAAACTGCATCAGTTTTGAAGGAGAAAAGGATATGAAAACCATATCACAATGGCAGAAAAAAATCTGGCAGCCAACAAACTGATCACGACTCTCCATCATTTCGCTTAGACACTATCTGAAGTGAAATACCGTGTCATGATTTCCCAAATTGATGAGTTTAGAGCTTACTACTTACAATGCCTAGCCGTTCGTGCCTTCATAGAACCGTGGCAGAGAAAAAGGTCCTTTTTCCAACCGCCTTCAAGTTGGTTACTTGCCACCCCTTACCCTCCTCATACCGTTCAACCTGTAATATAAAAAATAAATAAAAATAACAGCTGATTAGATTTGCACACCTACATACCAAGGTAAATGATGGAAAATAAATAAACAAGTTACCGTATTCACGATGTCTTCCTCTGTTTTCACCCCTCCAAAAATATATATAGATTCCTTACAAACAGCAGCAGCAGAATATCCCCTGGATTGGCTTATTGGCTCCCCAACCATCCATGAGCCAAGACGAGGATCAAATATTTCCATGCTTGAAACCATTTTATTTCCATCATGACCACCAATAACATATCTGCAAAAGTTATTAACCATCATATATACATTCATGCATTAACCTTGGACGCAATTTATGGAATATATTTATATATGCTCCCAAGTTTTGTTTTTACACGTAATTTGATAGCTCATATTGTTTTTGTTGATTTGATTGAAAATATATGAAGTTACAATGTATCGAGTAAGTTAATTTTAATAGATAGTGCATAACTAAAAATCTGCAATAATTAAGAACATTAATGATGAATTGTTAAATGACCCCGCCAAATGAATTTCCTGGCTATGCTACTGTGTATTGCCGCCAGGTGCACAATAGAACACCCACAAAAATGGAAATGAAAATCTCTAGTCGTTGGATTGTAGTGGTGGTAATGACCACGCTTTCCGACATGCAAAGATACCCACAAATTATCTAAAAAATAAGTGAGTAAATTATGCAAATAGTCCCTGTAGTTTACACAATGTGTCAATTTGGTTCATATTGTTTAATTTGCTCGATTTTGCCCTTTTAATTTAACAAATTGTGTCATATTAGTCCAATAAATAAAGGCCGTTAAGTTTGGTAGACGAAAATTCAAATGTTGTGTCAATTTGGTCCCTATTTTAATTTACTCGATTTTAACAAAGACCAAATTGACACATCGTTTGAACACATGACAACTTTCAATCCACCAAACCTAACAACCATTATTTATGGGACCAATATGACACAATTCGTTAAATTAAGGGGCAAAATCGAGCAAATTAAAACAATATAGACTAAATTGACACATCGTATAAACTATAAGGACCATTTGCATAATTTATCCAAAATAAGTAGTAAAACCCTAGAATCTGACAGAAAGTATTGAATAGTGGGTTCAATTTCAAAAATTCTTTGACACTCGGAATAATTAAACACACAAAGTTAAACACACAAAGTTAGAACTTTATATCTAATTGAGTTACACTTGGCTCCACCGTTGAGAACAGAAAATTGTTAGAGAATGTAACAATGAACAAACAGCAAATTTTCTGGACAAAACATCCGCAAGATGTGAATTAGTAATCAGTTTACCTTAACCAAAGTTAAACACACAAAGTTAGAACTTTATATCTAATTTAGTGCAGAGTCCCACAATCCCTAGGAACCCATATGCAAGGTCATATATATCAAATGTAAATAAATGACTGAGTGAAACAATTGATAAAATAAAGAAATGAACTTACAACTTTTCATTCAGAACAGCCATTGCATGACAACCCCTTGGTGTACTCATACCCTCAATTTTGGTCCAGGAATGTTCTCTTGGGTCAAACCTTTCAGCAGATCTGAAACAGTATAAATTTTCAGTGTTGATTTTTAGTGATTCGCTTTTGAGTATTGATTTTCAGTACAAAATTTTCAATATGTGATCAAAAACGACATATTTTTAATGATTCACTTTTGATCTTTCTCTATAGATCAGAGGCTACCTATCAGGTCTCTGCAGATGAAAAAAGGCAAACCGGTATTGATGTTATCACTATGAAAGCACTAGCCGGTCTTAATTTAATCACTAAAGAGTCTGGATTCTAAATTTCAACACAAATATATTTCCTTCTCTTTCCAAAGCAGGAGGGCTTACAGGGATCACAAAAAACTTCCACCTGTAAGAAATAATGTATAGAGAAAGAGAGAGAATAAATTGTATGTATTATTATTGATTGATATATTGATATCTATTACAATGATTCATGATTCCTATATATAGAAGAGGGTGAGTGTGTAGTAGGTAAGGAGTAGGTGAAGTGGAGGTGGTAGTGGTGTAGTGGGTTAGGTTTAGTGGAGTAGGTGAGGTGGTAGTGGTGTAGTGGGTTAGGTTTAGTGGAGTAGGTTTAAGTGGGTGAAGTAGGTGGAGAGTAGGTGGATTTTAACAGCCCCTCGCAAACTCAAGGGGGATAGGAACTAACCAACTTGAGTTTGTAGAGAGTAACAAAACAAGAAAATACATCAAAATAAAAGAGGATAAGAGACACTGTATGGTCGTGTCAGACCATTGGTGAAGACACTGTATGGGGGTGTCATAACCATGTAGAGGACACTGTATGGTGGTGTCATAACGGTGTAGAGGACACTGGATGGCGGTGTCAGACCGATGTAGAAGACAGTTTATGGGGTCATGTCGGACCGTTGTAGAAGACAGTTTACGGGGTCATGTCGGACCGTTGTAGCAGGACAGTTCACGAGGTCATGCCGGACCGGTGTAGAAAACAGTTTACGGGGTCATGTCGGACCGTTGTAACAGACACTGTTGTGACAGTTGTTGTGACAGTTTACGGAGAACGCCCCAAAATAATCCAACATA